GGTTGCAATACTGAAATTAAAGGCAGACAATGGTCCTGCAGCATGAGAGACATATAACTACACAGAAATAGTTCCACTGAATTCAGCAGCATGAAGTCACTAGTGTCTAAGTACTTGAGACATCAGGACTATGGGTGAAGTTACCCATGCAACAGGACTAATGACTAGTACCTATTTGGCATCTCTACACATGCATATTAATGCAGTGCAATAAATTGATGCATATTGTGCTGGAGTTTATTTCTCCCAGGTGCTGCGTTTCCATGTCCACCTGGGACCAGAGCACATTGAGCCTGGGCCCGGCTAGCAGGGTGTCCGGGGGAATGGTGGTGGTCAGCCTGCCAGCCCAGGGCTGCTCCAACCTTATTCAATGTGCTGCGAGGGGGCTCGCTGGGGTATGAGGGTGCTCCAGTGTTGGGCTAGAGGCAGGCAGTGGCCCTGTACTGAAGCATCCTCATGCCTCAGCCAGCCAGGTCAGTGTTTACATTTCCAGTGCTGCACAGTAAAAAACTGTGGAGTAGTTACAAGTACTACCCTGAAAAATTAGGCCAAACACATGTAGATGCAAAGACATTTACTGCAGAGCTAATTAGTCAACTCCACAGTAAACATTTCATGTAGATGTGCCCAGAGACAGTTAAATCATTCACTAGATCACACAGCAAAACTGCTTTCAAAAATACCAACTTGTCCTCCAGGATCTTCACAAAATGTGATATTACCGGTCTTACAAAAATACTGTAATTCAGATATCTACTAGGCCCTACATAGACCTCAAGGAAATTCAGAGGGGCTCAAGTTGTTTAGATCCAGCTTCTGCAAGTGCTGAAGAGCTTGGATCTGGAGTCTTGGTACAATCCATTACAGAGAGCTGAATTGGCCAGGACATGTGGACTCAGATAAGCCTTTGCTCAGACCTTTGGTGGAGATTGAGGATTTAGGATTTTGGTTTTGTCCATCTGTAATAGAGCATAGGTCTGAAAGCTACAACACAGCAGCACTGATAGTGTGTATAAACCCTGGAAAGAAACCAGGTTTCATCTGATCTTATCCATTTATGCTCCTAATTATTCGTTTTTCCATTTTTGTGCCCCCACCTTTCACATGTCCCTGCTGTCTCACATTTCAAAGGATCTCACTTTAGTTTAGCTTAAGGTTGAAAGTTCACTTCTTTTCAGCCTCCTTTCCTCTTTCATTTGGTTACTTCTAATGGTTTTTCAGCCATGATTACTACACACCCGTATTCTCAGCCTTTCATTATACCTGCTAACAACTGGTGTAAATTCATGATCCTGTTTGCACTGATTCCTCATGTGTTGGATGCAAGGCTATATGATATGATAAAGACGTATTATAGGATACTGGACTGTTAAACTCTTTCTGAATTAGACCTGCTTCACACTGAGCTTTCGAACACCCCCTCCTACAATCCACCCAAAAGGAATACTGTGTTTTAAGCATTCTTCTATAAAATAAGATGCTAGCACACTTGGGGGGAAAAGCTGAATCACTTGTCTTCACTGGTATGCATCATTTCATTTAATAGAACAGTCTGGCACAGGGGTGGGCAAAACATGGCCCGCAGGCCAGATGCTGCCCACCAGGCCATTTTATCCAGCCCGCAGGGCCCCTAAAAAATTTAGAAAATTAATATTTATCTGCCTCTGGCTGCCTGTCATGCGGCCCTCGATGGCTTGCCAAAACTCAGTAAGCAGCCCTCCACCCAAAAGAATTGCCCGCCTCTGGACTTTGGCATCAGTTTAATAAAGACTTGATTAAAGACATTAAAGATACAGTCTATGCTTTCCAACTGAAGGAACAGCCTGAGACTGAAAGAACAAATTAGTTCCAGCAGAAATTGGAAAGTTTAAAACTTGAAGGTAAACTCAAGCATTCTGTAACTTAAACACCAATTAAAGGATTGCAACCAGTTTTAATGACCTAAAACAAATTAACTCAAATGTATTGCTAATGAACCCTGAAATACTGCAGCCCTAATCTGCCTCATGAATATCTAATTGGCACCTTTCTACACATGATTATTCTGTTGTACCTAGAGGCCATGATCAGAATCTTTTTAGATAAGACTGCATTTCCTTATACCCACCTCCACAGTCTTCATGGCTGCACAGAAATTCTGGGAGAGAGGCTTGAATTACTGATTTGTTTTGTTTTTTTTAATACAAGGATTCTTGTACCAGGTACAAAGCATAAGTGGACTTTGTGTCAGTGGTATTGCACAGGCTTGATTATCAAATTGATAACATCAGCATTAAGACAAAAAACTAAACTAGCTAATGATGGGAAATAAGGAAGGGGCAGGTTGGCAGTATCTTTTACTGGACCAATTTTATAGTTGGGAGAGATGTTAGACAAGCTTTTAGGCACAAAGTTCTTCCTCAGGTCTAGAAAGAAGCCTCTCCAACCCTACTGATTATAGACACAAATACACAAGTTGCTTTTACATTTTTTTAATGTCAGTCAGATGTACAGTATGAAAGAGATGCACAGTGCTCTGTAGACATTATTGTAGGCAGTAACTTTGAAATGTGAAAACATGAAGAAGCTGCTTGAAATTCCCCATGCCCCAACCCCGCATTGTGTAGAGATGCTCTTAATATTTGTTGTTGATAGAACAAGTGCTTTACAAAAGGGCAGCTCTGAAAAATGTGTCATTTTCATTCAGCACAAATAAGAGCCTGAGACAGAAATAACCAATAAACAGTTTAAGGTGACAAAGCACTAATCAAACCTTGCAATGTTAATGGGTTCACAGAGGTGACATGACATATCTGGCAATGAAAATTCTACTATAACAGAGCAATGCATACTTAAAGAACTACGGTTCACAAAGTTATTGAGGTGTCCAAATATTATGTGGACCTGGCCCCATGTTTAAAAGTGCAAGATCATTTTAATAACCAAACTTCAACTAACTGAATCTGCTGCTGTTCATCTGACCTTGCACATAATGTACACTAGAAGCCTGATCTAAAACTCACAGAAAGTCTCACCTTTGACTTTAGCAGGTTTGTATAAGGTCTTGAGACATGGTATCCAGTTAATTTTATTTTCCTCATATCCAGATTTTCCTCTTTCATATAAGAAGAAAGTAGTCTCTCTCAGGTCTGAGCACATCCAGAAAAAAACTTATTACTGACTTGTTTTGCTGGCACATCAACTGATAACATTATTTAATAAACCAATACAGCTGCAAAGTCGAAAGAGCCCCTCTATACTGAGCTACAGTTTAACCCTCTAGGATCTAGGTATTTCCAGGGTCATAAATAGATTCTAAAAAAACCCAAAGTCTGAAGTGCAGGCAATCAAAGCAGTTTCCCAGAAGCAAGTTACAAGAGACTTGTGCAGAAGCAACGCAGATACTCACTAGACTAAAAGATTCAACAGATTTGCATCAAACTCAATTGAGGAAGTTTCTTTTCCCTTACAATTAAATTACCAAAATACTAATCTGAATATCCCTTAATTACAATGACAAAGCAAGGTATGTGACAAGACTAGTAAATTGTTTTGCTACTTCATTTGTATTATGATACAACTATTCTTTTTCAAGTTTTTAAAATAGATTTTAACCAAGTGAACAAACTGCACAGTAACATGTACGGTTAAGGGTACACTTTCATACTGGACCCAAGCAAACTGCTCAGAGACTTCTGAACAATTTAGCATACTAAATAAACCAAAAGTTAAACACTGTTCTTTAACTGCAGTGTTGTACATGTTGTGGAGCATAAGCACAGATCCAGAGTTCCCTTCAATCCAGAAAATAAAAGTAATTCAGGCCCAAAACCAAAAGTTCCTGAGTGCCTCAGTGCCATAACAACAATCTGGGTTGTAGGAACCATAAAATAGAAAGAATGATACTTTTTGTACGTCCATCTTGGGCATGATTTACAGAAGTGCTCAGTACTTGCCTCTATCTGCCCTAGGGGACATCAGTGGAAGTAGTTCTACATGTCAGTCATAGCAGCAGAGCGAAGCCAGCGTTAGAACTCTGGAGAATGCCACTAGAAGGGTATACCTATGTCACAGTGCCTCCAGCTTGTGTGGACCTACCTGAGCTCAGGTAGTATAGCCAGGCACATGAATAAGCGAATATTCACCCAGCTTCGCAGGTATGTTTGAAGTCCTGTGATAATTTCAGTGCAGGCATACCCTAAATCAGAGAAGGATGCTGTACCCCAAAGGCACTTGAACTGAGCAGCCTAACTTCCCAGTAGCTCCAGTAAATTGATATTACAACCACTTTCATATTCACTAGAAAGGGCCAGGTACACAATACTTCAACCCAGGCCAACAGGATGCAATTTCTTGGTGCTCTTGGTATCCTTCATGCACCGCTAGAAATGCTTCTCCCAAATCCAATAGTTACTGATTTATACCAAACACTTCCAGTCTGTCAGCTGAAACCCTTTTCTTCTTCCAATGCGTCTAGCTATAAATATCTATATTAATTTTTAAAACATTTCAAGTAAGTTCCATAGCCAACCCACAGGTGCGCATTCACAAATAAATGCCCATGTCAAGGAGAATGCATTTCTCTTGTAATAGTCTGGCCAACAGAACACCACCCAGCCTCATCCGCTAACTTTGATGGTGTGACTAAATGGATGTGGCAACATTTAAAGTGTTAAAAAATATTGCACCACTGCAATATTACTGCAATATTGAAAACACTGAGGCAAGGAATGGCAAAACGTGGTCCAATATGTTCTTCATATTCTTTAAAGTGAAGTATCCTTAAATAAGAAAACCGGGGGCTGCCTGATTTGATGTCTGACCCATTAGAACATGAAGAAAACAAATCGTTTCCAGGTGTACATACCAAATTAAATGCAGTCGTTAAGGCACTGGTTGCAATGTTTATGGAGGAGGATGTGTGAATACAAAGCAGTACATTAGAGTATTACACAACTGAGAAACTGAGTGGGAATTCATATAGCAAGTTATCTATATTTCTTTTCTTTTCTGTGTTGCAGGGCTTCTGTCATTCCATTTGACCTCACATCCTGTCCCAGGAAGGGTTACGTTAAGACTGGATCCCCAATGCCATGGTCTGGATTGCAGGTGAAGGAGATGGTGACAGCATAGCGAGTGCCCCAATGAACCTTTTCCACCCGATGGAGGTTCTCTGACCCAGAGGTGAAAAAGGAAACGCGGCCTGGAAGAGACAAAGTTAGACAATCAGTCAGTGCTGTGGCACAGATCAGACACTTGACCACTGGTTCTCTGCACGACGTGGCCCAACTGCTCCTTAACTACCTGAAAGACCAGGACTTCACCATGAAGACAAATGCTATTAAAAGTGTGGGCTGCACTGAGACAGCTTAAGCAGCTGATTAAAAGGTGCATCAATCCTTTGTACTAAAAAAATACAAACCAAAAAACGGAGACAGAGGTTCAGCTTGTCTTACAGCTTAATACAGAGTAGGGAGGAAGCCAAGGGAAGTATGGATCCACCTTTAAATTGCCCTAATAAAAGAACAGCACAGGTGGGCTGAACTGCTAGGAAAGAAATTTAGATTTTTTCCCCTCTCACACTGGGCTCTAATTTTAGATGGACACAGAGGGGAGCACTGCAAGGTAGCCCAAGCTTTCAAGTGGAAAGGAGTTATTTTCCTCACTCGAAAGAAAACCCTGTAGATAGTTCCAGGAGCAGCACTAATAGACCAGAGCCAAAGTTGTGTCCACTGGGCTGCTCTGTGGGTGGACCAGCTGCTTCAGGGCTCTGTATCGATGACAGAGGATAACCCCTCCCCGCGGGTACAATTTCACACCACTATGAACCCAGTTCCATTTCCACTATATTCTGTGAGGAGGAAGGAAAAACAAAAGCTGCCTCCCTTAGAAACCCGCACCACTTGCAAGGGCCAGATATGCGGTCCCTGCACCTCTGAGGCCAACAAACTGTCCCACACAGCATTGAGGAAGGTGTCGTGGCTCTGTCCGTCAAGACATGTCTGCAGGGGGTGGCATATTCCCCACCTAACTGCAATATTCGGGTCCTGATTCCTTATAAGAATAAAAATTGTATGGCTAGAAATGCTGATGACAGGCAGAGGGTTTTTACTTGTTCCCCACCCCCAATGGATTACCCAGGTACAAAGAGAGAGGTTCTTAAGCATGCACATACCACAGATTACCAAATATCCTCCTCCCCCTGGAAAACGTCACATCTCCACCTAATAAGGTCACCTGACCCCCACGCCCCCAGACTGGGAGAGGTCACAGCAGAGAAGTAGTTAGCCACCTTAGTCTGAAGTCAGGCAGAAGGCAGGGTAGATTTGCATCTTGTAGACTAATTAAGTCAGTTGTATAGTAGGAGCTTTTGCGAGCCCAAGCTCATTTCATTACACATGATCAAATATCCTTTCACAATATCTGATGAAATGAGCTTGGGCTCACGAAAGCCCATGCTATTCATCTTTGATTTAGTCAGTCTACAGGTAAAGATCACAGCAGCCTTTATAAGAAGGTGCGACAATGCAAGGCTTTATTCCAAGTATTTGCTCGTGCTTTGTGTGCACGGTCAGAGCATTCATTTTTTGGCCAAACCAGAAGGTTCTGTATCATACTTCAGTGCAAATCATCCTGTCCTTAAAAACGGAGCAAAGGCACAAATGAATGGCTTCAGGGATTGCTTTGTACGAGTGACTGGTGCCTCCTGAATCTGGGGGGGGCACCCAGAGAAGCCACTGACCCTGTCAGGGGGGGCACCAGCCCCATCAGGAGTGGCACGTGCACTCCCTACCAGTCACCTATGGCTTTGTAAAGGACAAATGTTCAGTCCAGCACCTCAGTGCTTCGCCACCAATGAGATTGCCAGTAGAAGTGTTACATGGGGCTTGAATGTTATTTTTAAAGTGCCAAAGACTTACAGCGCTAGCAAAATAACCAGGTGACATTTAAACCAGAGGCAGAAGTATGGAAAGATCAAGAAAGGGAACAATAATAACACTTGAACAGTCTTTCATTATTGCAGAGTGCTAGTGAACAGCCTAAGAAGGTACCGAAGAAGGGTTTAGCGAGTGGCTCAGATCCACGGACTGTTCAAACCTCCTGATGGGCCAGTAACATTTATCTGTGCAACTGTTTTAACCCAATTCCGTATGTTTTCCTACTCAGGCAATTTTTCCACTAGTCAAAGTAGCTTGAAGTCTCTGCTAAGCTTATCCTGGGGAGAATTCATACCAACAACCTGACTTCTACATAAGGGGTATTATTTGCAAGATGTTCATCACTAAGCACTGGAGGCACTTGGCTGCCTTCCTGAAGTGTGCACGACATCAAGGTAAATTGCTCCAGCAGTTAACTGGGTCTACATTCTGGAGCCGGGCACACGCAGCTGTTATGAAGCAAGAGTGGAAATGCTAACTGAAGAAGTCCAGAAGCTTGCATTCTTCAGCCCAGACCAAACACAGCTAGACAGATCTTGCAGGGTGTATTTACAAACTGAGCCCTGCAGTTCATTTTGGTGAGGCGCAGAGCAAACTGTCCTCCAGGAGGTTCAGCTGCAGTCCAAACAAACTGGTGGAGGGAGCCTGTCTTAACTGCTGAGCAGATTGATAAGTCATGTGCCACATTATGCCCTGCCTGCAGCTGCATGTCAGTGGTGGGTAAAGCTAGATGTAGCATGCTCAGTTATATGTGCAATTCTTTATGTCCCCGTGTGGCTGTTTTTTCTGAATGAAAGACAATCCAGGAAGGCAACGTTCTTGGAAAACCCAAATGGACACAGCTGGCATCATCAGGATTTAACTGAAAGCCTGTTTGCTCTATGAATGTTCTTATTTACTTCTTATTTCTGCTCTATTTATATGCGTGGTTCTCTGAATAACCCATGTTCCCACCAGCTTTGCAGCATCTATATTTAAACAGACCTTCAAGCATTTTTGTTTACTCTCTTATTAAAACCAAATCAGTCAGACATGTTTCAATTTACCATTAAAAACAAGTTAATTAAACTTGGGGTTTTTTGGATTATACAGGATATGCCTTAATTTTCTTCTTTCACGAAACTCTCTAACGGCCAGCAAAAGCTCTTTTATAGCTGCACTGTATCAAGTCTCTATTAACACTGGCAGAAAGCACAAACCACCTGTAGTTGCTGGGTGGCTGAACAAACACAAGGCCTGCAGAGGAAGGGAGTCCCCTTCTCTCTCCTTGGAAGCAACTTATTTTTCAAACAAGCTACACTGAACAAAGTGCAAATAGAGACACAATGCATCTAAAACAAGCAGCTTTTACTTCAAGGACAGGCTAACTTGGCAGAGTCCAATTTATAAAACGCTTTCTAACGGAGTGTGGGGTTTCTTAGACATTTGTGCTAGCATGGGCAACTGGTGCCGCCGTAGTCCGGGGGGGGGGGGGGGGGGGGGGGGGGGCGGGGGACGTCCCCCCTCGCAACCAGTCCTGCTGACCAGGATGGGGAGGTCCCCTGTGGGCAATCCCACAATGGCCAATCACTGCGATCACTGCAGTCACTTCCAGGAGTGACTGCGCTCGCTTCTGAGAGCAAGCGCCAGCTGATTGCTGCAGCCACTCCCAGAAGCAGCTGCAGTGATCAGCCAGCACTTACGGGGGGGCACTGGCACTCCCGTCTGCCCACCACCACCTGTCGCCTAAGCGGCAAGCGTGGCCAGTCAGGGGGTGCACATGCACCCCCGTACACCCCCTACACATCACCACTGTGTGCAAGTGAGAATGTACTGAAGGAAAAGTGAAAGAAATCTGTATGGATGGAGGGGCAAGTACTAGGCTGGCTCTGGGGAACATAAAGGTGTGAAGGAATGTAGGGGCCTGGAGGCTATATTAAGTGCAGAGCTAGAGCAACTGCAGGGCACTGGGGAATCACCAAGGAGGAGGGCAGGAGAGGGCAAAGGGAACACAAGGAAGATAAGGGAACAAACTAGGGAACTGTTAAGAATACAAGACCAGATCCTCAAACCTTCACTGGCAATATAAAGAGGCTGCGGTGCTGGTTTAAACCCTGAGCCAAGAAGCCTTGGCTGGTCTATCCCGGGCACAGTCTCTTACATTCTTTCCTTGACAACAGAAGACATGGTGTGAGTATCTATGCAATATGCATTTCTAATTACCACAACTCCTTGGATCCCGAATTATGTCAAAAATGAGCCTCAGTACTGGTGAAATGAAGAAATAGCGTTACTCTTGTTTGCCTCTCCTGGCTTCGAGGGACCCAGTTCAACTGGACCATAGACAGACTCTCCACGTGGCTTAAGCAATAGCCATGGGGCTGGGGCGGGCTAGGGCGTGGAACGGAGCCACGGGCAGTTGGTTCGGGTGGCGGGGGGTGGGGAGGGGTTCTCCTTGTCACTGTGCATACCCCCTGAAGAGGCATGGGGGGGGATGTGCCCCCTGGATTTGTGCATGGGGCAAAGGCAGGCTGCCAGCTGTAGGCCTGGGGGCTGCGTCGGACTCTTTCTGACAGGGCTGGGCCAGGGCTGGGCGGTGGCAGCACTGAGTGGGAAACAGCCACCCCAAAATTCACCGAAGACCCACCATAGCTTCCTTTCCCAGCGCCAGCACCACCGTATACTCTGCCCCTGCCTGCCCCAGCCCCTGCACTGGGAAAAGGCCACTGTGGCCCCTGGCCCTGAGCTTGCAGCCCGCCCACACCCCATGCACAAGTGCAAGGGGCACGTGCTCCCCTGCCTCCCCAGGGGTGTGCGCAGCAGCTGGGAGCTGTCCTCCCCACCCCCTCAACCTTCCGCACCTCCCAGACAAGCTGCCTGTGGGTCCGTCCTGCATCCTTGCCCAGCTGAGCAGCGCCTGCCCCTGCCCCAGCCTCACTCCCTCCCTCACTATGAAGCACCTCTACACCCCCCACCCCTTCTCCTCCCCACAGACTTACCAGCACGATGCTGCTCTCCAAGCTGCTGGGCTACATTCCTGACCACATGTATGCTGCGGCTGTGCGCATACAAGCAGCATTTATCAGTCACATTATTGGCTACACCAACCAAAAAAAGCCAATTGCTGATAATGCCAATTTTCCTTTTATCAGTGCCAAAACAGTATGAACCA